AAGTAGATCAAGAGTTGAAATCAATTTTTTTTTAATTGTGACTAAGATTACGGGAACTCAGTTGAGCGATTGGGTTGAATGTTTTGGGCTGTAAAAATTGAAATTGGATAAAAATGTTGACTGGATGAATCTTTTGCAGGTACGGTGGTGGCTTCTTCTAGATGACGAGTGCTTGTAGATGACCATCATCAGCACACAACCTCACGTCAAGTGTCAAAACGAATTTTGAACAAAGTACATTTGGAAACCCGTTCGAAGTGATGAAGACAGCTGCTTTGCAAACCGACTGCTGCAGGACAGCCGTGTTCCAGTCGAAATATTTTTAAACCTCGAGAAAAATCGTAGATGCGATGTATTAGTTGATCTGGGTGTAATCAGTTGATGTTCCGAGGATTTCCCGATTTTTCATTTCCATGTGTCACTAATATCTCAAGGATGATCCGGGTGCCACGGAGCTAAGTGATTGATTCGGGATCTTCGGATTGACTCGGCTATGTATAGTTTAACTGTGCTTGAAGATGCGTCCAGCCGAGGAAGGGATGAAAATATAAATAAAATTAATTTTCAACTTTTAATCTCGTGAAAAATTTTATTCTTCCATTGTCCTTTCTTTGTCAAGGAGCAATATGAATTGTGTGATCTTCTCGTCAGCAATATATTCAAATCAACACCTGCAAATTTCCTGTCGGTCGTGGCGAATTCACCATATTTTTTGCAGTACACTTTAAACCATTCCATATATTTTACAGTACCTGAGTGAGTGAAAATTGACACAAGGGTCAAGAGAAGTGTACATGTGGTTGATGTTTTGAAACTACAGGTGAACCTCCATAAGTCAAACCTCCCTAAGTCAAATACCCACCTGATTCAATTTTTTTTTCAGGTACCCATCTGAATACCCTTAGAAACAATACATTAAGAACCTCCCTAAGTCAAAGGTTTTTCCCCTCAAACCTCCATAAGTTGAATTTTCTGTGGCCTGTTAGCCGTTATTTCCTTGATCCAAGAAAGGAAAAAGCAATACAAATATAAGTAAACATGGTTTAAAGGAAGTAAAATAATTAATTGGGCAAATGAACCTTTGCCTGCAAGTTCAGCATCCTTTCAGCTCATTTAAGAAGCTATTTGAGCCCCAGAATATCACCATTTACAATTTTGAAAAAAATTTTCCAAGCTTCCCAGAAAATTGACTTTATATTGTAGCTCAAATCTCTAAAATTCAAAACCTCCAAAAGTCGAATTTTTGGGCTGGTACCTTGAAATTCAACTTAGAGAGGTTAGTATAAGAATGTGTTCCACCATCCAACAAATCAGCAGTAGAAGAAAAATACTGGCAAAAATTATAAATGTACCCTCTTATTTATTTTACAAGCGCTGATTGTGAGGATCAAATAAATTCAGAGCGCAGATAAAAAATGGGAGCGTCTCAGAACAGCGCGTGCAAAAACGGAACAAGCCATGAACAATTAAAACACTACTGCACACACAAAATTATCAACAAAAAGTAACATTTGCACAAAATATATGCAGGTAAAATGCGTCAGACTCTGTTACAGATTGATCGATTTAGGTTTACATGTATTTCTCCACGTTTTTAGACAAAACAGCCATGCTGAAAAACCTCCAAGAAAACTGTGACCACAATTGATGAACATTTCGCCTGATTTTCATGTGCCAAAAACATTGTATTTCTCTTTTGTGCTGTTAATGTTCTCGCGTTTTGATTTTCTGGGAAAGCTTTTCTGGGACATGATGTTTTGAGATTCGCTCAACTGATCCGTATCTATGGTCAAGGAATTCATGCCAAAGTTTTCGAACTTGATCAAGATTCGGATTTTTTTTTTTTACTTACAGTTGGGTTTTCAACTACGGTAGATTATATTGTACTTTAACTGGCATTCCAATGTCAAAAGAGTGTTTTTATTGTCACGATTGAATATTAAAGAGACAGAAAACGTTAAGCAGTAGAAAAAAAGAATTTCATACATGTTTTAAATCGTATTCGGTCGATTTTTCATCAAATAATCGGATGTTTGACAAACTTTGACAAAATTAGTCTACAGCATCCCGAGCATGACGTTGACAATGCGTCTACATGATCCCGGAATCGGGGCTTGCACGATAACTTCTATTGCGTTCAATGGAAAATATTGAAAAAATTGAACGGAAACTTTTCCGGGGAAAATTAGGTCATGAAAAGTTGCATACATTTCCAGCGATATGTAATTATTGCCATCATATAATTGAAGTTTGGAAGCATTTCATGATAAATGCTGCTTCATTCCTCATGAAATGAAGCAACGCACAACGACGAAGAAATTCATTTGAAACTTCCATCAATACCATGGACCATGAATTTCGTCAAACATCTGATCATTTCTTGAAGAATCAACTGCTGAACAGGATTCATTCAAACGCTTGCAATTTAACTTTTTCCATTCGCTGTCGGAAAGTGTTTAAATATTTAAATCTTGGATCCAGTTCAAGTGCACCATATAATCCAATTTTTAAAGAAAACCATTGTGAAGTATACGAAAATACTACAGTATTTATTTGATATATTTATAAAATTAGTTTTACATACAGAATCAAAAAAATTGCTGCTGAAGGACTTCAGGGGACACGGCAAAAATTCGGTGCAAGGAATAATCCATTATAATGAGATTTAACTTTATTGAAAAAGGAAACATGTTGTTCTTCTTGGCATCAGCATCAGCAGACAGCTCTTGGGAGTTCTTTGTGGCGATAAACTTCCTTAAATGCCCAGCTTGAATAGAAATCTCTGCACTCTGTCAATGAACCAAAGAAGCCGGTTACGAAGGCGAAAGCTTCGGAGCTTTTGTTGTTCTTCACGCGGAAGAGGAACGATCTGGGTAATTAGAACTCGGATTGTGAACGTAGGAATTTTCGAATCAAGAACAGTATAAAAAGGCTTGGAATTCACCGAACCCAGCATCAGTTCGTATCTTCCAATGACTCGAGTCAGTCAATTAAAGCTTTGCGTGTGCTTAACATTAAGTCGTGTTTTCTTATCTCAGTGTTTTTCTTTCTTGAATCAAAAATCTCTTTTTTTTTCAGGGATATTCCGCAATGGTTTTTATATCCCTTCTGACGGGAAAAGCCCGATTTTGAAAATGTCCTTCAGCCTCTAATTCCTGGGGATTCGAAACTATGAATTCCCGAAATTTCATCAAAGTGAGTCAGTTTCGTCTCCGAGCTTTGAAGGATTTATTTTTCTAAAAATTGGTCTCGGTTTTTTCAGTTTATCGGTCCTTTAGTTTTCCTTCTTGCCATATACTTCATCTCTACATGTGAAGCTGAAGCCAAACCAAATGCATTGGCAAGTCCTTTGCCATTTCCTATGGCAATGGCTGATCCCAACCCCTTAGCTTTACCGTAAGCATTTCAAATTTTCTAAAATAAATCAATAAAAGATGTTTAAATCTTGAAACCATTATTCACAGATGGGGCTCGAGCAGCAGTTCGAGTTCAGGCCATGGCAAAAAGAAGAAGAAGAAGAAGAAGAAAAAGAAGAAGAAGAAGAAGAAGAAAAAGAAGAAGAAGAAGAAAAAGAAGAAGAAGAAGAAGAAGAAGCACGGATCATCTTCATCTTCGGGTTCAGGGCACGGCAAAAAGAAAAAGAAGAAGGGAGGATGGGGTTGGGGTGGCAAAAAGAAGAAGAAGGGAAAGGGAAGCAGGTAAAATGCCAATATCTCAACAGAAGGTATAAAAATGTGCATCGTTATATATATTTTTTTTAAATTTGTGTACAGCTCGTCTTCTGGAGGAGGACATGGTTCGTCAGGATCGGGTTCTGGCTCGGGTTCTGGATCAGGTTCATCTTCCAGTTCCGGATAATCCAGATTCCCGAAATATCACGACGAAAGTTCACCAAAATTGCGTTTCCTCTGAATTTTCATTCTTCTAAAATTCCAAATTCTTCTTGTAAAAAAAAAAAACTCCAGTTCCTCTTTACTAGTCGTTTTTATGGTTGTTCGTAATTCTAGTCCGTCGCATGTGGTTTTTTTTCCCTTCGCCTCTTCGGAAAATTATGGAATTTTGTTGTTGATTCTTTCTCTCCAACCTTTGCGATCCAGGAGAAAAATGTTTTCAAATCAAGTTGCTAATCAGTTTACATGCAATGAAAGAGAGAATAATAAAACTTCCAGACCTGTTATTGAAATACAACATGTTTTTGTCTCCACGACCCTTTCTGCACCCGGAGTATCAAAAAACGCGTACGGAAATATTCCCCCGAAAATTTACACTCAATCCAATGGAATTTTTTTCCGGTTTATAAAAATCGGTAACATAATTTTCCTTTTGGACAAGCTCACAAAAAATCATCGTTCAATCTTCGAGTTTTTTTTTTAACAAAAAAATACTACGATGGGGGTTAATTCATGAAACGTTTTCGGTCGCGAGGGTCTCGATGAGATGCGAAGATGTCCAGCAAAGACGATCTTTTGTGTTTCACATTGTATCCGTTTGCTGCGAAACACTCTGCTGCTATTTTGTCGCACTGACAAACCGCTTGTCTGCAAGGATCTTTGCTCACTGCAAATACAACAAGAAAAATATAATTTCCATGGAAAACAAAACAGTATTTCGAGATGCGGTTGCCCTGTCAGAAAATGAATAAGTTAGAGTACCGAACAACATAGGCCAGAAAAAAAAGAGATTTTTATTGAAACAGGAATAAAACTTATCCTGTAGAAAATTGAGCGATAAAGGGTTGATTCGAAACTATTTTGAATGACCTCCGATTTTATAGCTACTTACATATGACAATGACCAATATTGACATTTTGAATTGTTTTTTTTTACATCGTCATGCTTTCTTTCCTGGGTTTAATGAAAGGGTTCTGCAAGTTTTTCATAGTTTTGTGAAAAAAATTAAAACTATAGCCAGACTATAATCAAGGTAGGTTCGATTCTTTAAAATAGCTTTTAAATTTGCATGATTTTTCTGGTCCACCGTGTACGCAATTATGTTCGCATGAGCAATTCAACGTTGCAAATGGCGAAGTTCCACATTTCCAGAAATCTTTCCATATTTTTTGCAAGCTTCAAACGACGCTGTGACTTTAAAAAGGAAAAGTACAGTGATTTACTAAAAATAGGCTTTTCAGAAAACATAACGCAATCGGAGATCGTTTCTTGTTAATTTTAGACGAACATTATTCGGGGGATGTTCATGTTTCATTTTTAAATTTTGCGACGTAGGAAGTCAAAAGTTCTTTTAGTGGTATATAGATGCTCAGTATTATTTGCGCATATGCCATTTTGACGATATACATCATTAATCTTGTTGAAATCGCTTACTTTTACGTTTTAGTTCGGTATGTTAATTTTTATGAAATGCTGGCGCGTTAATTTGTAGCATCCTCCAAATTTCCGCGGAGTATATCTTCATCAACAATACCTTTGAATTTAAATACTGATGTTTACTTGCTGTTAGATATTTTTTTTTATTGCCATCATACCGCATAAAATGCCTTGAGTTCGTTTCTCCTGCTGCACATTTTCAATCACGGCTGTCTGTTCAGTGTTGAATCCGCTAATGAGAAAATATGCCAAATCCGCCAAAGTGCGGCTTTTGTTGGTCGGTACGGATGAATTGTCATCAGCAGCCCCGATGGCTTCTTCCATCAAAGTCTTGTTGACTTGCTCCATTCGAGCCAGAATTTCAAGTTCTCTCGGCAGCATTTCTGCGGGTCTAAGTATGAGGGTTTCATTCCCGGGTTGGAAGTCTCCGGGTTCACTACTGATGGGTAAGGTTGATTGGACGTGTTTGTAATCCTCGGCGTCTGTCAGTTTGTAGTCGGATTCGGATTCCAGGACTTGCCAATCGTAGTAGAGCCACTTGGATCGAAGCCAAGCTTCACGACACACTCCGGTGTCCACGACTTCGTAGCAATCATCGTGTGCCTTGCAACACCTGCAAAATTTTAATTAGACGCATTATAGATTCATAAATAAATGGACACCAAGTAATTTATTTGACAAGATTTGTGAAGAGTCCTTGACACGAAATTCCGCCTTTTTTTGGATTTCAGATAGAGTACAGTATTGCAAAATGCAGTAAAAGTTTGAAAAATATATGATGGTAGAATAAGGTTACAAAAAGTAATTTGGGCCTGAAGAAATTTTGTTTTTTTTTTAAATTGAAATTGTCCTCTAACCTCAGGAAAAAAGTAAAATCTCGTTACACGAAGCCGTTGGGAACTAGGAAAAATTGTCATGGAAAAAATCGCTATAAATTGATGTGAAAAACATTTTGGCCATTTGGCATGCAAATGTTCATTGCAGAAAAAATACTGTACACGCTGAAAATTGCGTTGTTCATCGCAACGCAATTTTCTGAAAAGAGAAAGTGGAAATTTTTTCAAGCTTGCATTTCGGAAAAGTTGACATTATGTAAATGAATATACAGTACTGTACCGTAATTTTTTCTGGGTTTTTTGTCAAGAATTTTCCGGATGTGTCTACAATGAATGGAATATTCCATCAGAATTAAAGGGAAAAAATGTTTTGTAATGCAAGACTCAACGTGAACCAGATCATTATTCATTTGCTGACCCAATACTGTGAATAACACCGGATTTTTTTTATGCAGCAAGTCGAAGAAAAAATCTGTAATTTCTTTGCGAAATAGTATTCGCAAAATTTCAACAAGATTAATGTCGAAGTTCGCTGAATTGGAAGTTAAATAACTTTATTCGCAGTTCGTCGTCATATATGATTAACTCATGGATAAGCAACGTTTCATTTATGACAAGCTTTTGTCAAAGAAAGATTATATGCAGCACAATTAGTTTTCATCATTGTGAAAAATCGGTGCAATTGTGAATCCATGAATAAGTGACGGTGAAACGCTACCTAGTTTTAGACACAGAAATATAAGCGATGATGTGAGAATGTAATTTCGCCATACGGCGTCTTTTCTAACGTATTTCGTGGAAGTAGATAATAAGTAACTAAGTAAGTGAACAGATCATAAGCTGATGATGTATCTCACGCATCAGTTTCGTCCACGGGTTCGTGTGAAGGGTCTCCGCCGAGTCCGCAGAAGTTTCCGTAGGCGTTATAAAGCAGCGCTTCACGACCAGTTGCGACACGTATCATGTCGCCGAATTGACCCACGTAACGCTTGTGACGACGCGTCATGCCACCGGTCCAAGCCATCACGAGGTTGCCTAGTCACATCATATTATTTTACTCCTAGATGTCGCTCTTTATTTCAAAAACAGCGCCTTCGCTGAGATATCCATTCCAAGCATGCCGCAAAGCATTTATGAATCTTTCGCACTCTGAAGCCGCAACTAGTCGCTCATTAATGGTACGACGTACAAATACTGTATTTCAGCAAATTTAGTGTTTATTCATGCTAAAGAAGAGAAGCAAGGAAGAGATGGGATGAGGAACACGGAGCATTTCCGCAGTCGCTCGATCTCACCGCGTGGGACGAAAGCTCGGAATCGCTGAGGCACGTGGTCGGTGCTGCTGAACCAGGAAGTCTTTCCAGTGGCACCTACTTCCCAGCTGTGACCACCATCAGCAGCACCACCGACAGAACCACCGGCGAAAATAATCAGCAGCAAAGAAAGCCAGCAAGCATCGTTGCGCATGACGACGAGAACTCCGGACCGAATCCACGACAGAGCGTGACTATTACTACTCCTGAGAACATGACGTTCTTCGCTCTGCTGATGATCTTTTATAGCAGACGAGTCATCTACTGCACCAACTCGTCGCCGACGCAGAAGACACTCAGATTTCACTGATTTTTGCGAAGAAACATGAATTTCCGCCACGGGAGACGATGATGTCGGGTAATTTGTCGAAAACATTTCTTTCATCGAGTTATCCGGGTCATCGCGATAAACGATTAAATGGCTATAACAAAAATAAACTCCTCACGGCGGAAACTTTCGCACCACTCGATTTTTTTTTCTTTCAGGTGAATTTCCAGCGCATTCGTTATTACACTTTGGCGTGCTGCGAAATTTTGTTTTTGTTTTTTCTTCGAAAGTTGAGTTGTCCTCAGGCACCCTGGAAGATAAGTGGTCCAAAAAATTAGCACGCGACGAGGAAGTCCAAGGAAACCTAAATTTCAGAAACAAAACATAACCAAATATTTTCAATTCCTTTTCAAGTATAAATATCCAAATACAGTATCTGTGCTGTAATGACAGGACTAAACCTTCGCTGGGTTGATAACATATCTCAGATAATCACCTAATTGAGAGACATATTTATTCAATGAATGAAAAAAAACAATAAACTGTGGTTTGGCTTAATATTACCGAATTTTTTAATTAGCAAGTTCTTTAATAAAGCATCGCGGACAATAAAAAATGAAAACTTATTTAAGCAATACACAATTCAAAACTCGGTCTAGGAAGAATCAAATACCTGTACTAACTTTAAAGAATTTAAAAATTCAGCGAAAACGAAGAATTTGTCGACCAGAGTAAAATTTAAAAACTCAAATGTTAATTCTAATGGTTCATTCGTTTCATCATCGCACTGAAATAATATTTTTACCGTGCTGCCCTAGAATCAGTTCTGATCAGTTATTCATTACGCAAGAATATACATAATAACAAGAGCACGTGCACAAACATCAGGATCAATTGCTGCATTTAAAAAATGATAATAGATGCCTAAGATCAAATTAATGATTTGAGCTCCATCCAAGAGACAACCTGCCTTTTTTTCCTTGCAAAAATTAAATGACTGTATAGTATTTAGAAAAGGCTTGCTTGTAAATTGAATTGATACTCTCTGTTTCTATACTTCATGAAAACAGCTTAAAGCGGACAAGTTGAAGAAAGAAACTTGAAACTCGGTCAATTGTACATCCAAACTTTTTTTCATTCCCTAAAACAAGCTTTCCCTTTTGGGAAAATGCAGATACAGTATCATTTCGCTAAATTATACTGAGCATGATGATAAGTATATGCACTCTTCAAAACTGAAGTATACATTTTTGAAATCAAGCATTTTTCAAAATATTATTCATTTATTTATTCCGCTAATTTACGTAAAAAAATTAAATGACGCATCTGCGTAAATATTATTTATCCAGATGATAGACACAAGAACACATGGAAACACAATACTGTAATGATAAATTTTCAGAACTGAGTCTTGCTTAAGAAAGTACTGTACCGTAATTCTGCTAATTATTCGAGGAGGTGAAGAATAACATATCATTTACTCATAATATTTGAATAGGAGACACACATCAATAACTTTTCTGGCGTATCAGAATTGCAAATAAATTTTAAAAAACGCCATAGAAAAGCCCAGCAATCGGTAATTGATGCTAAATAGTTTCAATCAAATTTGAAAATGATATTCTATACAGTATTTCCAGCGCAAGGACTCAAGAATTGAAATTGCAATCTCTGATCGATTAATTTTTTGAAAAAGCTGACCATCCAGGTATAACGGGAGCATGCCCAGCAGTCTTTTCAAATGGCAAACTCATTTATGCATAGAAAGTGGGTCATTTTTCTCGCAATTTATTTCTACTTTTCACAAAAGGCACAAAAAAATGTGCCTTCTGATCCTATGGCGTCTCAAATTCGGGTAAATACAGATGAAATACGGGTATAACATGATGAATAATTTGTGTCAGACACCCAGACTGCATGGGATTATTGACACTTAAAAACAGGAAGAATATGGATTAGTTTGAAACGTGAGATTGATGTCATTGCTGAATGAAAATCACACTGCCTTTGAATTCATATGAATATGATTCTCATTTTTGCGTTCTACATTTTTTTTTTTTACTTTTCAAATAAAATAAGGATGAAGAGCATCCAACAAGCTCATAGGGTCTTAGGTACAAAGGGCAGGTAGAATGCAGATGCTTTGAAATGGACTGATTTATTCCACTGATAATGAAGACCTCACTTTCATTGGAAGCAATACAAGTGAGTTCCTTATATTTGCTATTTTAAAAATATTGTTTTGCCTTTTAAATGCAAAAAGTAAGAGTAGCGTCCAACCAGCGTCTAATATTCGATTAAACTTTGCCAGGTGGACAAACAAACATTGAATTACTGCAGTGAATCGTCATGCGCACACGATGAACGATGAGCAAGCTTTCAAAACTATTTCATAACAATGATTGATTTCAAGAGTGATTGACGTCACTGAGTGAAAAACTGAAAAATCCACTCGCTTCCCACACCAGAAATGAGTTGCCTTCACCGCGTCCGCTCAGAAACTGAGAGTAATTCCGCGTTAATTCTGCGTCGGAGCCCAGCAACCAGTACGTACATACGCACAGCATAACGCATATATGCCTCCCACGCCTTTTCCTTCTGCACATAAATCGTTCTTCTTCTTCTTCTTCTTTTTGTTCCCTCATCATCATTATTCGCGTATCATTCAGTTTTATTTTTTTCCCCCCACGGAGAAATCAAATCACGCGCAGTCCCCAAAGCGTGAAGTCCGGCGAGCACACGCGTGTCATGGCTGAGTGCAGCTAATCCGCCGCCGTGGGGTCGGTCGTTGGGCGAGTTTTTCTGGAGCAGCTGGGACCTGGGTGCGGGACAACTCGCACAGTGACAAATCGCAGAACAAACACGTCGTCATGAAATTCAAGAGAACCATGCGTCCCTGAGATAGACATGCACCTTAGCTTTTTAGCTGGAATTTTTGATAGAAAGGAAAAAAAACATTAGAATCTCGTTACAACAAATCTTGTAATAACAAATACTTGTCATCGTGACATTCAAGAGAACCATGCGTCCCTGAGATAAATTTTTTTTGAAAAAGCTGAACATCTGAAAAAGCTGACCATTTGAAAAAGCTGACCATGAGATAGACATGCACCTTAGCTTCTTAGCTGGCATTTTTGATAGAAAGAAAAAAACAGTAGAATCTTGTTACAACAAATCTTATAATAACAAATACTTGTTTGAAACAAAGTTGTTGTTTAGATCAGTGTTCCCCAACCCTTTTGGGCCCACAGACTGTCAATGTTCCATAAATTTATTTGAGCACAAGCAAATTTTCCATAATATTGTCCAAGGACAGGCAAATTTTCATAACATTTTTGCAAACTCAAAATGTGTTGCTTGAAAGACATTATGGCGCATACTTGAAAGTTTTTACATTTTTTTTTTGCAAAAATTCAGTCAAGCTCTATGAGGCAGTTATAGCTGAATTTCATTTTTAGAAATTAGAAAGGTGGGCTTGAAGAAAGTTTTTTCATAATAAAAAAAATTAAAATACAGTAATTTATTTCCGCAAGGGACAATCTGTTTGAAGTGTTATTATAGGAGAAAAGCCAACTTTAATTTCTTCTTCAGATTGTTTGAACTGCCACTGTCTTTCCAAAATTCCACATGAAGATAATTGACTTCATTGCAACTTTTAATCATTTTAATACCTTCAGAAAATTTCTTGCAGACCAGCAAAAAACTTCTGCAGACTGGCACCAGTCCACAAACCATGGGTTGGGGAACACTGGTTTAGACCAATGAGCAATATCCATGATGCTAAAAGAGTTTCTTTACAACAACATTTTCCTCACAGCAACGCTATTGTACTGGCCTCAGTGGCTTAGTTGTAACACAATTTTACTGAATTATTCTAGCATATTACATGTATGTGGACTCTTTCTATATGACAAAATTCAAGGATCCAGAAAAAATGTATTGTAGCAATTAGATAACCCCTACAAAAGAACCTCATGGGACAAAAAAAATGTATTTCTACGGGGAAAATTGTTGTAGACAAGATTATTGTACAGAGAGTCCACCCTTGCATCAGAGTTTTCAATCTTTTTAACCTTCTCAGTCTTCTTCAATGCAGTTGAACCTTGGTAACTTGAATCTCCCTAATAAATCTAACTTCCCACCCTAATTTTCCTAATTGGAATTTTGCGAGTCCATGTCTGAATTCCCTTACAAAGCACCTTGCTACCCCAAGGGCTAAAACCTCTCCAACATCCAAAACTTAAATTTTCTTAGGCTTTTAGGCTGTTATTTTCTTGAGACAGGAAAGAGGAGATCAATAGAAAAGTAACAATGCTGTGTTGACATGAAGTGAAATTTTAATTAAGCAAAATGAACTCTTGTCTCCAAGTGGAGCAGACACTGTCAACTCATTTAAAAGATTGGATTCAAGTGCCCAGAATATCCCCCTTTACAATTGCCTGCAATTTTTTTTCCCCCCCCCCCCCCCCCTTTGAAGTTGTATTTTTTCTGATACCCGCCTTTCCCCTTGAAATTCGACTTGAAGAGGTTCAATTGTATTTTAGATCATTTATTGTCACTTCATATCCTTGGATATTCCAAGCGTTCACTTGTCGCTGCACAAGTTGTTGCTTTCCCCGAGCTGTCATTCACACCAGTTGTCACTCTGCGAGTTCTCCGGTAATTGATGGGAGAGGGAGCCACGCTAGCTTTCTCCGGTCACCGCCACCGCCGCCAGCGCCGCCACCACAATTGACTCCGCTTCCTGCTCGCAATTGCGGCTCCAGCGCACCGGGGCGAGTAATGGTTCGGGTTATCGCGTTCATCTGGCTTCGGATGTGGGACGCGAGTTTCATGCGCCCAGATTCGGAGCAATCTTGCTGCGAAATAAGTGGATTAACATTTTTTTTTTAAAGATGAGTTGAGGAAGGACAGCATGAAGAAGATGACATACAGTATTGTTATGGTGCAGCACAGACCACAAGGAATTATTCCTGGGACTTGCGAGCGGCTGTTTTTAAGCGCCGCGTATATTATTATGCTTGTTGTCCTGTGAAAGCAGCTCTGTATCGTCGACGGATTATTGTAAGACGAGTAGACGAGACGTTTATTCTCGCATAGAATGGTATTCGTTTTAAAATGGTCACAAGTAATCCATTGAACCCACTGAAAAAAAAAATTATTGCTTTGATCTTGATGCACACACATCGAGAGAACCCGGAGGCAGATTCTAAACTTTCTTGCATTTTGTACCAGTGGCAAGACCTGACCTGCTGATTTGACCGTCAGTGACATCTACCCGTACTGTAACTACTGGTGAAATGGAGGATTTG